ACCACAATTTCATGCAATTGCGAACTTTGCGATCCAATCGGAAAATATTATTCCTGGGCCAATTAAAGTTATGGCTGAAGTTGGTTCTATTTTCCGGTCTTAATTAATGCACCTCCAGATACAATTGACATACCGGCTATATAATAAAACAACCTTTTATTAAATCCTAAGTTCCAAACTAAATCCAATATAATGTTAAAATACTGTATTAAATATACAGTAGCATATGATATTATATTATAATTTTTATTCTTAAGGTTTACGTTAGCAACTAACATACTAATGGTTACATCAGTGACGGCTATGTTGGCCATTAGTTTGATGATAGCACTCTGTTAAAAAAATGGAAGTAAACAAGAATTCGATGAAGCTACAGGTTATTTAAGTGAGTAAATTCTTAAATGAATATAAACAAAACAAATAATAAACAAACAAAACATACCCCTAATTTACGATATATCCTAATTTCTACTCGAAGCACATCTCGAACCGAAGTTAGTATTCTAATTTGTCTTCATTGCTAAGCTTGTTGTAAAATTAACGCGACGATGTGGACAATTTATCATGAATCCTCTGCAAATCATCTGATAAAACTAGAGGCGTTACAGAAGCATTCCCTTCTTGTGTAGATATATCAGAAGTTGCGTCCATTTCTTGTGTAGTTGGATTTTCAGTTGGTACGGTATAACTGTATCGTCGGAAGTAGGTACAGCAGAAGCATTACCTGAAATGACAGAATGTTGTTAGTAGGCTTTACTAAATTGAAAAACTTCTATATTTCCCAGAACTTACTCATATTGAAATTAAAACAATGAGAAAGAAGTGATTAAGACACTAAAAATATTTTAATATATTTTATGTGGTAATGGTAACACATGAAATCATAAAGAGCTTGATTTATTAAAGATTAAAATGCGAAATAATACTTGTCACACCCATCCCCGGGATCGGCCAGTGATTCTAAAAGCGAGTTGTGTTCCATTGGTCCAAATTTAGTGGATTCGGAAAATATATCGAATTGTTTATTTTTTATTTGCTCAGAAATATTCGGAAGACGCCTGGTGAATTTTTTGAAAGCAATATTACGATGACGAGCAAATTGTTCATCCCATGCTTCTCTTCAAAAATGGGCTATATAATCATGTCCGGTATATGGTATACTAGGATTAGTGCTCTGAAAATCGAGCTAAAAAGCGAAATGATTCCTCATTTTTCGAAACTAGTACTACTTCCTGTCAGGTTGATGGACGGGAATTCATCTATTAAAAACGATCGATGCGATAATATATCATTCAGATGTCAAAATATCGCATGTCGCACCCAAAATTTCGAAAATGACTCAAAATAAATTTAGCAAATATCGCCAATATCGCCAACTCAAAAATCTAAAACATTTCGACAAGCTGTCTTATTTTTGGTAAATATGATTCATTTATCAATTATTACAAAAATTTTCTAAAAAAGCTTATTGGTAACTATAATTTTCAATGGTTTTTTAAAAATATATATGATCAAAGATTTATTGACAACGACCTATTTTAAAATTCATATCAGCAATATCTTTAAACTTTATTGTGAACAACTATTTTCAAATTTTCCAAGAA